GTGTGTGTGTGTGTGTGTGTGTGTGTGTGATTTAATCTTAGTATAAATCCAGCTGCTAAAGGCCTCAGAGGTTTTTCACGGAACATTAGTGATCAAACTGCATCATGAAGACCAAGGATAAGACACCAGACAGGTCAAGGACAAAGCTGCTGAGAATTTTAAAGCAGCATCCATCACCTGAAGAATGAAAATGTCAAAACTGCAAACTGACCAAGGCACGACCGTCTGCCTAAACAAACGGGCTGGACAAAAACTGCATCGGTCTGAGATGAAGCCGAGAGACGCGTGGTAACTCTGGAGGAGCTGCAGAGACCCACAGCTCAGGTGGGACAATCTGTCCTCAGGACAACTAATCTGTCCTTTCTGAAAAAGGATGTTAAGAAAATCTGCTGGAGGCTGCAAATAACTTGAGACTGTGTGTGTGTGTGTGTGTGGGGGGGGGGGGGGGTGTCACCTTCCAGCAGGTCAACGACCCGAAACATCCAGACAGCTGCAGTGGAACAGATTAGATCAAAGCATATTGTGTTAGAGTGGTACGGTCAAAGTCCAGACCTAATGGTGCGTTCTATTACTCCTGAGAAGTGGAAACTTCCTTGATCCCACGTACTGTGTCTCTTTTTCTGTAAAACTTGTAGAGACCAATGTGGTTCTACAAGGATTTGACTCAAGGGACTGAACTGAATACAAAGACACAAGCTAAAACTCTGTGTCATTTTACTTTAACAGTTTTGCTTTGTGTTGGTTGGAAACATAAAAATCCCAGTAAAACACTTTGAAGATTGTGGTTTTAACGTGACAAAACGTAGAAAAGTTCAAGTTCCTGTATAAGAAACAGCTCCGAGCACTGTAGCTCTATCTGCCTTTCAGAAGCCAAAGAAGAAAAGTGTGGTGTCTGTCATCGGCTCGGTGGTTTCTTTGGACTGGGTGGTGACTCACAGGTTCATGACCAAGCAGAGCCTGAAGTCCCGGAGCCACAGATGCCTGACATCAGCGAGGCCCCGGTGTGGAAGAACACCGTAGACGCCAACGCTCTCATCATGATGACTGTTGCAGTTTTTATGTGGGGATACTTTGCTTGACAAGGTCTGTTTCCTGAAAACACGTGACAAGTTTCAGTAATGTACTTTAGATTGAATCACTTTATTAAAATACTGAAGTCAGCCTCCTTAAGTCTCATATCTTTAAAGTAGTGCTGCCATCTATTGGCCGTGTTTTGTCATTACACTCCAACTGAGTTGATTCCACATTTCATAAAAAGAGGTCTAGGCTAGATTATATCTCAGGTTTACTATTGCCTGGGCCAATTTGTACTCAGTGGTACAAAATGGCCTGGGCCGGGGGGTCTGCAACCTTTATTATTAAAAGAGCCCTTTCTGCTCCTTGGCTCACTAATAAAATGTGTCCTGGGCTGCAAATCATTCTACAACTGGGATTATAAACTGGTGGCCTGTGGGCCACTTTGTGTTCATTGAAGGGGGACCTCTGGCCAGTGTGGGTGACATTATAAAACTAAAAAAAAAATAATTAATTTTATTGTTTATTATTATTATTATTTTCACATAAAAGATTGTATTCATGTAAACGAAAACAAAAAATAAACACTGTGCATAATTAAAGGCACAGTGTGTAGGATTTTGTCAATTCTTTTAGCCGAAATTGAGATAATCACTAATGACAATRATAAAAAAAAAACGTCTAATCATTGCAGACAAAGACCTTGTTTTATTATTTTTACTTTATAAAAAGCTGTTTATATCTCCATGGTCRCGGGTCGCCACTACAGGCAGCCGCCATCTTGTCTACGAAGGCTCATGAAGGACAAGCTGCGGTGGCGGCGTCAAAAACGGTTTTAGTTGTAATACTATAAATGTAATATTTGTTGTCTGTCATTGTAGCTGGGATAATTTTACTTATTAAAGCTCATAATCTTACCACTTGAAACATCACTAGCCCTGAAGCTGCTGGTAGACATCGCGGTTGGAATTATCAAAGGTTTTTGACACCTGAGAGACACCGTAGCAACTCCTTTGTGTTTGGAAGCGGGGGGTGGGGGTGGGGGGAGGATCAGGGAGGATGATTCAACCACTCAACCACTAGATGTCGCTGAAAACAACAAATCCTGCACACTGTGCCTTTAAAGCCAAATTTAATAAAAACTTCCACTGAACTATGCAGGCATTTAAAGTGACTGTGAAATAAAAATTTTGCAATAAACTTGGATGCATTTTCGGAGAGTTAACATTGATAACATATTGCAAAACAAATTTCACGATGAAGAGTTGTTGAGAAATATTTGCAGGAAGTGATATCAAAGTGGAATGTCTGAATGTGAACAGAGCATCGTTACAACAGACAACAACCCAGAGTAGAATCTGATGTTTCTTTAGATTATTTTGAGTCGCTATCAAAAAGAGACGAAGAAGAGTTAAAGTTTAAATAATATTGTTTTAATAAACAAAGACCAGAGAGTTTATTTTATTAATGAGTTCCCCTTTGATGTCACTTCCTGTTTCACTTTGAGCCAAATTCAAAAGAAAATAGGCCAGTTATGTGACAAAATGGGTAAAATCATTTGTATTATGGCAACTTTCTTAAGTATAAAGATGTTTTCTTTGACTTTTTGTATTTGAAGGACTGGCATGTCACAGGCACTTTAAAAAAATCTTACCTAGTCTTGTCTTAAAGGTCTATAGGTAGCCCTGAAGGATTTGAGAGAAAGATTGTACTTTAAAGCTGGAAGTTGGATTACTGAAGTGTTATTAGCATGATCAATCTTTGCATTATTGATCACATATTTGAAAACAAATTGACAGGAAAACTGCTAAAACTAGCCTTTTCTGCTGAGTATAACCCCCGCCAAAATTTAATCTCATGTTAGTGTTGGTCAAGCTTCAAAAAGCCACATGTGGCCCGAGAGCCGCAGGTTGCAGACACCTGGCCTTGACCAGTTCATACCTCTCAGGCCAGATATACCAGTAGTGTTGAATCATGTAATCATTTACCTCATTTTATCAACATTTTAGTAGATTCAACACGTGAGAAAGCTAAGTGACCTAAAATTCATGACACAAACTTTCATTGCTTCAAACATGATACTGTGGCCTGAAGGGGTATGGTCTGTCCTGGGCCAAACTATAATTCACTTCAGTTTATTTATATAGCACCAAGTCACGACAACTGTTGTCTCAGGGCACTGTACAGAAAAAATACAACACATCTAAAGAAGCCAGCAGATTGTGTTGAAAATCTGGGCCGAGGTTAATTTGATTGATTTAACTAGTCCTGTTCATGAGGGAGCTGGTGCCTATCTACAACGGCTGGGTACACCCCGGACAGGTCAACCAGGGACACAGAGACAAGCAAAGGACCAGAGGTGTACAAAGTACTTGAAAAAATAACTAAGTAAAAGTAAAAACACCTAAACAGAAAATGACTGGTAAAAATCAATTTCATTGATGAGAAAAATACTTAAGTAAAAGTCATATAACTGTTCATAAAAATTGTGAAAGTAAAAGCACTTTTAAAACACTGTCTAAGAATTAAACTGTAGAATTTACTTAAAACCCCTTAACGGTTTTTCTTCCACCAGTGGGCAAAAATGGTGCGGTTTCCACCTTTAAATGTTTCCAGACAACACCGGGGGCTTTTATTTTGACTGTAGGGTGTCAGACAACTTCCTCCGGTTCTTACCTTTAGTTTAGCACCCTTAAAAATGTCAAAAGGCTGAATTTCAGGGGATCTGTTAAGGGGTTAACCAAACTGGTTCCACTAAACCAAGTGGAGAAAATACTCTTGCCTCATATTTGCTCTACTAGGTTTAATGAAACCAGCTGACATGACTTGGTTGAGTAAATTCAACACTTCAGTTTTTAAAACTGTATAAACAACTCCTTTTATGAGTTTGGACTATTTCATTTTGTAACGAGTAACTAGATGTTAAGTTTTAAAGCAAAGAAGTAAACAATTTTAGGTTTTAAATGTAATCAAATAAAAGTAATAATTTAAAAAATATACTTAGTAAAATTACAAATCCTCAAAAAATTACTTAAGTACTGTGACAAAGTAAATGTACTTAGTTACTATAAACCTCTGCAAAAGACAATCATTCCCACTCTGACTCACTCAGAGTGGACTAGTCTGATCAGAGTTTGGCACACTTTAAAAACTACATGTAACGCAGAGTAAAAAGGTTTTATCAAATGAGAAGCACATTACTGTGTAGGGTTACACACTGATTCAATCACTCGTCCTTTATAAAGGTGTGAATAGACAAAAAGGATAGATTGCATTATAAGGTTTAACTCAATAATACCTCTCTCAAAAGGGTTTAAAGTTTTTCTAACATCATTTAAACTTTGGCTCAAATCACTGGAAGTGCCGCGTTGGGTTTGAAGAAAAACTGTTCCCACTTCTAATCAAACGAATAAAAAGATGTGATTTAAAGCTGGGCTGACATAAAACTTGCAAACTATAAAATGATGTGTTATACAGTATAATAGACCTGGAGTTACTCTTGATGGTTGCACAGCTTATCCTACATTGGAGGAAATATAAACTGAATTGCACATCACTTTTATCCCCTGAAGAATGAACGTTTACAAAACTTGTAGATCTGAGCACGCATCTAAGAGAAATGTATACATTTATATTTTCATTATTTTAGAAATCAAGAACAGGGATCAGTCAGGAAAAACTTTATCCAGACCTGGAAAATACTAAAACTAAATTCATTACTTTTTAAATCTGAGTAACCCTGAACACATCAGAACCAGCGCTCTGAAATCAGCCACAGCTTTTGTATTCACCCGTCAGAAACGACACGGACCAGGAAGTGGTTCAAATTTCCAGTTTTAATCATTACTTCTGTTTTTATTTAAGCACATTTTTCCCATTAGCATTGTACACATCTGCAACCTATAGAGGTCTCCCATATCTATCCATCCATCCTCCCATCTCCACGCAGAGTTTCAGCATCATTCATCACATCAGTTCTTCCATGTCCAGTCTGTCAGCTTGCAGGGGGGGTTGGGGAG